ACGCGGGCCTAGACTACCTAGCCTTCCGCTACACCTGTCTCTTATACACATCTAGATGTGTATAAGAGACAGGAGAGAGAGAGAGAGAGAGAGAGAGAGAGAGAGAGAGAACAGACATAACTTTGCTGTCTGAAAGAATGAACCACTGGGCAGACCATGTACTGCCGCCCTATGGACAACCAAAAGTGTATTAAAAGCCATACGGCTAAGAGAATCCCGGCGTTTTGCCCTGAGGGCCCCTGTAGGAGGGAGGCCCACGGATGCCACAACAGCATGGCAGGAGTTGTAGTACTGGCAGTAGAGTGGCAATAGTAGCACGCACAAAAAACAGTAGCAATAGAAGTGGGAGTAGTGGATAGTGACGGTGGCGATAGTAATTGGCAGTGGTAGTGATAGTATACATGTAGATATAGGGCCTCGCCGCACCACTGTCGAAAATGCAATTTTCGACAGTTTCTCTTCTCCACACAGGCTGTCGAAGTCGGAGACGGGAAAAAAATTATCCAAGTTGTCAGAGCATGCTTCTCGACAGCTCCTGTCGAAAGTTGTTGAATCCCCAGCCTGCTACTCCCATGCTCTCGACACTACTCGGCTGCGCCGTCAACTTCTCTTCGAAATTCAGTGAGGGGGGGCGAGGTCGGGATGGACTAATGCGTGTCGTACCCTCTGGCCCGTTCGTCTTTTTCCATCCTGCATTCACAAGTGCGTGCACTCTACAGTGCTGTGTGGCTAAAGGGGGGCAAACTGTCAAATGGAGGCTGTCAAATTTGTTCTGACAGCCGCCAAATTTTTTCGCCTCGACTGTGGTGCGGCGAGGCCCATAATTTTGAAATAACGGCGGACGCAGCATGTTTTGACACCCTAAGGCAAAAAAAACTCGCGCCGGCCAAGACACACCACACGCCAACTCAAAATGAGCAATTGCGGCCCGAAAGTGTCCGTTGGGCTTTTTTTTTCCCTTTTTTTCCCCCCCCCCTCGTGACACCACGGCCAACCCCTGTAAATATGACACCCGGTCTGACACCACGGCCGTCGGACCATCGGTACTTCCGTTGCCTTTTTGAACTCAGTGCAGTTTTATTTCCCGACGCGTGTTTTTTTTGCACGTTCCATACTCAAGGTCACATAAACGTACTCTTCTTGATTTATGGCATTTCTAATTTTTTATGCACGTCAATTCAGAACCTCTCGGTACTGGCCCCTGCCATTCTGGGGAGCAATAGTCCGGTTCCTTTTCCCCCGGCAAGTCAATAATAAATACATTGAAACATACACACGCTCCTCCCCATTATGGCTGAGAGGCCCGAGTGGATTGCGCCTGGGCAATACTAATCTTCTCTAGATCGTTCAAATTTTACCGGATGTGCCGAAAGGCTACTTACAGAAAAAAACAAAGGGCCATGGTTTCGACTCTTTTGAGATATCATCATTGAAGTGACCAGTCCCAGGTAATTCAGAAGTCATCTGCTCCCAACATCGGAGAATTCCTGCCGAACACACTACCGCTGTAGACCTTATCCCCACACTAAGTAAACAAACATGGACAGCTCAACCATATCCGCTTCACTATCCTAATTGATCACACTGCCAACATCAGAGAATTCCTACCAAAGCAGCCAAACACAGTGGAGCTTACAATAGCAAGTAAACACACATGGACCCCCCAACCCCCCCACCCCTCCACCCCACCCCACCCCAAATAATATAAACAAATAAAGAAAAAACAGTAGGCAGGGCAGGGAGCGGGGGGAAGAAGACGGGGTTTGCGAGGTGGCAGGTGGTGGATGGTGGGGGGAGGGAGGGACCAGGGTCAGAGGGGAGGAGGCAACCAGGCACCAGCAAAAAATAAAAACTTCCTGACATCACACACACACGTCAGAAAACATATCGGAGAACAGCATCAGAACAAACACACCACCAGCTTTCCATGTACGTCTCCCACATACTAAACATTCGCGCCTACCCACAAAATGGACAAACATCAACTCAAGAAAACACACAAACACCCCCCAAGAAATCAGCGCCTCAGTGTGTGCGCAGTTTTCCTCCTCGGACAGTTCAGATTTCCCGATCTGGAGCGCCCCGATTTGCTGTCCGCCAATGTGTATGTGGAAACTTGTGGCACATTGCTGGCAGCTTCGATTTCGATGTGCATCGGATCTGTGATCTGGGGCTGTGGTGGACCCCCTGAGTTGGACCTGGCTCCTGATTTTCGTAAGGTTGTCTCTTTTGACCATGGACCCTGGAGCTGTTGAGCAGAGGACTTTCTGAGACCTTAGTCAAACAGGGGTGACATGGCATCCAACCCCTGCAGCGGGTCATGGGCCACAAGTTACAATGCTCGAGCGTCTGTGCAGATTTTGGTCCTTTGCACATGCGTTAACACGATATGTGTTGCTGAGATGGCTTAAACCACCAGTACTTCCTAGAGTCATGCCCGTTAACGCGCCACAGTCTTAGGAAACGTACGGGCTACTACAGGAGCGCCCAAATTCATCCGACTAGAAACCTTTTTAGTATTTACTCTATTGTTTTCCGCAGCCGATAGCTGGGCCAAGTACTGGTGGTTTAACTGCAGGGATCGGGACATGTCCCCTGTTTAGCGGCAAGGTTCCGGAACTCCAGCATTACTCTTAAAAGATTGTGCGACATGACTTCGTCAATGTGAAGAGCAAATGAATGAACTGATACTTAAATGTCATAGCACAGATCAATGGCACTCAACAAAGACGCAGCCAACACTATGAAGAGTACACGTGTTGCATTTACAGTGTGGTCCTCAGTACAAATAATCAGCAGAGGAAGGAAAAGGTGAAACAACTGAGAGCACACTCACCTATGCAACCGACTGTGTTCATCAAATTTGTCAAAAAGCTCAATTGGCCTGTGCTTTTGGACTGCATATCACAAATTCACAAAAAAAATCTGAGTTAGAAATATGAAGAAGGCCATGCAATCGCTGAGACGGTTTACCATGGTGCAAATGAAGACATCAGAAAAGACTACAAGAGATGACAACCAGGCAACAATGACAACTTTCACACACCTGTCCGACGAAAGGCATGGCACAGAACAAAGAATCACCATAGCAGAGACAATAAAAGTGAAAAATCCACCTATCTGACTCTTGAAAAAAACAGCACTCATGCAGTGCATCAATCGCAAGAAGTGAGATACATAGGATGACATGCATGGAGGAGAAACTGCTCCTTGTTCACCCACGACCATTGGAAGAAACTGTGCATGATGAGGAGATGAAGACAACGAACCAAGAAGAGAACGCCCAGATGTAATAAGTTAAAAATAACCCGAAAAAATAATAATATCTTCTCTCCTAGCGCACTCAACTTCACCTCCCCCACAATGCCCACGATAGGCCCCCAGTCTCTCTCTCTCTTTCTCTCTCGCTGAGAACTCTCTCTCTCTCTCTCTCTCTCTCTCTCTCTCTCTCTCTCTCTCTCTCTCTCTCTCTCTCTCTCTCTCTGTGTGTGTGTGTGTGTGTGCCTGTGTGAGTGTGTGGGTGTGTAAGAGTCCACCTGTGAGGCTTTTCTTTCCTCTGTTTTGAGCTCCTCCCCCTCCCCCTCTTTCCTTTCCCCTCTCCTTATGTGGTACCACTAAATGCATTCAAATGAGCATCTTTAAGAGAACAGACAAAATACAAGCTGAAGTTCTGGTGAAAAATGAACAGGTGTATTCCTCCCGCTTTACTCTGGTACGGGAGCTCGCTCAACCACAATCAACGTGACAAGCCTTGTATATTAGAGGCACAGTAATAAAAGGGGAGCTGCAAGAAGAAATAAAGTTGGTGCCCTAAAGAAAAAGCCAGAGCAAATATTCTTTCTTTTCTTTTCTTTTCTTCGAGAGCAAATATAGCCGAGAAAGAACTATACATTGTATACAAGGAAAAGCCAATATAAGTTACATACTGGATTTGCTCATCTCCGTGTGATTCATGTGCTCATCTCCGTGTGTTTGATATCGAGTTATGATTGTTTCCATGCTGGATTTTCTCATCTCCATGTGATTCATTGGCTGCTATAGACGTAAGGCTGTTTCAATTCCGGATCTACTCATATAAGTGAAAACGGGGTTGTTGTGGAAACAGTTTGCAACACACATGCAAACACGCCGCAAAATGAGGAAGAGCACTTATCTCCTCCCAAAGATGTACCAAGCAGCTGCCTCCTTGGGGGGTGACTTTCCAGGACACTCGACCTCCCACGCTGCTGGTATCTGTCTCCTTTTGGAGGGAAAGATCGTTGCATGTTTGATATCCTTCGCCACAGGTCCTTGACTCAGACCACTGGACGCTACCCCTAGGCCTAACCCAGCCGAACTTTTAAAATTCACTCAGCCGCTGAAGGTACTAGGTTTTTGTCTCCTTCTGCGTACCTACCCGCTTCGACCTACGCGGGCCTAGACTACCTAGCCTTCCGCTACACCCTGCTGCAACCGAAGGCACTGCACAAGTAAGCACCACGCCCGAGGGCCTTCCAAGCGTACAAGTACACTGGCGGGTCACATACACACGAAATCAATCATACACTCAGACAAGCACACAGAAATTCAGCAAACATGCACACACACAGACTTGGAAATCTCAGCAGAAGCAGGAATCTCAGCAAGTCACACAATGCAGCAGCAAAACTCAGAAATCGGCAGAGTTCTCAGCATGTGATTTTGCAGGTCATTACATCACCCCCTGAGACAAACACGCACACACACAGAATTGGAAATCTCAGCAGAAGCAGGAATCTCAGCAAGTCACACAATCCTGCGGCAAAACTCAGAAATCGGCAGAGTTCCCAGTATGTGATTTTGCAGGTCATTACATCACCCCCCTCTCAAGGGGGTGTCCGTTTGGGCGAGCAAACTCATTCCGAGTCCCTGTAAAATACATCGTAGGCAACTACTGCAAAGAGTGCTGCTTTATATTCATATGCAGTCAGTTTTGCAGTGAACGCGGGCTTCCGACCAGGAACAATGTGACATGCCTAGGCACTAACAACACAAGGTGAATTCTTGAGTAAGTCTTTTCCCTGATATCCAAAGTTGATATAACAGGTGGTACAGAAAATGGACTTGGTACTGTCTGTTCTTCCCTTTACACAAACGTGCCACAATTCTGTCAATTTCATAACTGCAATCTAATTGAGCAAGGGATCATACAACTCGATGAGGAAACAAAGTAGCAGCAGCGCAAGGATACACTTTAGATGCATAAAAGACTGGGTACGTGCGCAGATGAGGTGGCACGGCAACCAACGACAACCACATACGAAGGACCAAAAGCATCATCTCCTACCACGTTCAAAACTTCTCAAGGACACTAATTCCCTGGAAGAATCTTGCAAGGCACTCCTAAAAACTCAAAAATTTTGACCCACACATAATCTCCTTCTTCAAATGTCGCAGGTCTACATCATTAGCAAACTTGACTATGGCATCCTGGTGCTTGTTCATTGCTGCGACAGCAACCTCAAGCAAGCACTGATACTTTACATAGCCAGGCATGTCGGGAGTCAGAAGAGGCGACCAATCAGGGAACAAGAAGGAGAGAGGGTTGTGGATCTGCCATCCGTACTGCAGCCTGTTCAGTGACATCCCACGTGTTCTCATCGGGAACAAATAGGGCACGGAGAAGTTGGGTGATAGTTTGTGATCTTGTCGACCTGTCCATTGGCGTCCGGATGTCGACCAGATCTCATGTTCAATTTGATGGCACAAAGTTGAGCAGTAAAGTCCTTCCAATCTGCACTCATGAACTGGGTGAGTTTTCAGGGGACCAAATTGCAAAATATACTTCTGATCACATTCGCAAATGACCAGTTCAGTTCACAACAAGGTGGCAAAGGAATCATATTCAGAAACTTGGAGAAGCGGTCAACAATCACCATGACTTGAAATTCCCTTTCTTGCTTACCTTTCCCATGCCCATGAAATGGATGGAAGCCGATTCACTGGGACCGGAAGGGATACGGAGAGGTCTCAACAAGCCAAGAGACTTTTTCCATTCACAGACTTCGCATTCAACCACAAATTTATGTGCAGGTGGCAAAGGAATCATATTCAGAAACTTGGAGAAGCGGTCAACAATCACCATGACTTGGAATTCCCTTTCTTGCTTACCTTTCCCATGCCCATGAAATGGATGGAACCCGATTCACTGGGACCGGAAGGGATAGGGAGAGGTCTCAACAAGCCAAGAGACTTTTTCCATTCACAGACTTCGCATTCAACCACAAATTTATGTGCAGATACTTTCATATCAGGCCATACTGTAGTAGGCTTCAATTAGTCTTTTCGAAGCCAAAGTGTCCACTCCGACCATGTGTTAAATCCAAGAAGTGAGTTCGGAGAGGCTCATGGTTGGGAATATGCAATCCCTCAAACTTCCATACCATCAAAACAATAAACCCTCATACATGATAATCAAGTTGATTGTTGGTGTCAGCCTTGAGCTGCTCAAGAATGGGACCATAGTCCAGATCCTTGGCAGTGTGCTCTACCAAATCCTCCTTCAATTTCCTTCAAAGGTTCTAACTCACAAGTCAAGTCATATACTCGGGGTGATGAGACAATGCACCAGTGACTCTTTAATAACGACCCTTCTTATGCTCTAATTCAAAATCATACTCATCAATCTCCTGCAACCAGCGAGACATCGTAGTAGACAAATTGGTTCTTCTTATGTTCTAGTTCAAAATCATACTTGTCAATCTCCTGCAATCAGCAGGATAGCATAGTAGACAAATTGGTTTGTGACTTTATCCACTACAAAGTCTCGTGATCTAAGACGATCTTGAAGTGCCGTCCCAAGAGATAGTGCTTCCAATGCTCAAGTCTCCCAGGGCATAGAGCTCACGCATATATATGGAAGTAGCTACCTTGTTGTTGGGTATGCGTTTTCTATAATACTCAAGAATGTTAGCCATCACCATCCCCTTGTTGCAACGCTACGCCAATCCCATAATGGCTCGCATCCATGGTAACTAAGAAGAGAGTTTGGGATCTGCAATGCGGAGCATATGGCTCACATCCGTAGAAACTACGAAGAGAGTAAGGATCTGCAATGCGGAGCATATGATAACTCACTAAAGCCTCTTTCAAGGCTTGAAATGCAGTCTCACGTGCATCACTGCAAGCATAAGGTACGCTCTTACTTGTTAGTCTCGACAATTGGTGAACAATGCCAAAAAGCTTGAGAACAAACTTTCGGTAATAAGAAGCCAAACCAAGGAAGATCGCAATTCACGTACATTCACCGGTTGAGGCCAATTGCGAATGACATTGACCTTGGTTGCCTCAGGCTCAAGGCCTGCTGCAAACAACCGATGCCTAAGGTAGATCACATTGTCCCGTCCAATCTCAGGTTTCTCCAAGTTCAGGTACAATTGTGCTTCTTGTGGAGTATCTCAAAGACTTCTTCCAAGTGTTCCAAATGTTCATCCATTCTTTTACTAAAAATCAGAAGGTCATCAAGATACACAACAAATCTGTTCATCTAATTTCAAAAGACACTCCATAGACTTCAGAAGCTAGCCGACATGTTCGTGAGATCGAAGGGCATAACGATGAATTTTGAAAGAGCCAATCGCGTGTTTTCAGTACCGTTTTGTGCTGGTATACCAGATCGACACTAATCTGGTGATAATCAGATTTAAGATAGATTTAGATAAAGACCTTGCACCTTCTATCTAGCAGACAATGTCTGCAATTTCAGAACCAGTCTAGGGGTTTGCAATTGTAAGCGAGGAGACCATGGCAGTGATCCAAACCTCCGAACAAGGATCCAAACCATCCACAATCCGGTGTCCGTTAACTTATCCAGATCCTGGTCCGGATTCCAAACTCTTTGGCCGTTTTTTTTTTTTCGGCGGCCCAGGGTGTTTCGCCA